TTGACCAGGCTTCACGTTGGCCATTACAGTTGACACACTTGGCATCTGCCCTACATTCGTTGCTGTCATGTTTACCACCACAACGCTGGCAAACCTTAGGGAGATCACAGGATTTGGAACCATGGCCAAACTTTTGGCAAGCATACCATCGGAGTGGATTGGGGACATACGCCTCCACTCCGATGTTAACATAACCACCTTTAATTGTTTAATTGAACGAGAAATGTTTGTTCGATCAAAAGTGAAGAGATGGGTGTTCAGGGGAGTGATAACACCATCGATCTTTTCTAAAGCTGTCATTCTCGATCTTTCAACTCTGTAACAATTTCTTATTCGGACATGTCAGAAAGGCATCGAGCTCTGTCATGAACAATGCCTCGACTGGAGTTTTAGAGTCTTATGTGCTGAAACAGCAACCTCAACATTGGCAATCTGACTGATGGATAACAGATTCAGAGATTGCTGCTTCTTCACACATTCAACAAGAATGGAACCACTACGGGGTCGAGTTACATTTTTCACTTCTCCACAATGTCCGTTAATAGCTTTTGAGATAGCGAATGGGTTCAATTTTATAGGTTGTTTGTCAGCAGCCTCGATCACCAGGAATCGGCCCATGAATCATATTTGTTGGGAATGTTCCCAGAATCACCATCTTCAAGACGTCGTTTTTTGTCGTTGCGAATTGAGCCAGGTTGTTTGGTTGACATGGTGAAAGAAACGTGATTCAGCATACCTGCTCCCCACCCACAATGGAGTGTCAACAAGGACAGTGTTGCAGCGCATCGGATTTCAAGCATGCAAACACCAGGGATACAGGGATGTTATACTCCAGCAAATATGACTTGAATAGCTATATTTATTTACCAAATGTAGTGTGAGGCTGTCTCAGTCCATTACAAGAAAGTGGAGACATACAGAGGTCAACATCACCAGATTGGCCCATGAGCCACAGCCTTCTTGCATAAGACTCTAGGCAATATATTCCATCCGACACAGGGACGCAACCCACGGCAAACAGGTTGCCCAATTTGGTCGCCTTTACGACCAGCAATTGGGTGCTGAGGACACATTCTACCCCGGGCCCACACGGGGGCAGAGCTATTAGCGTTACCCAGCACTCACCACATTAAAGGAAGGATCAGGAAGTTTATGTAGTTTTTCACGCAAAGTCTGAACATTAGTAACAGTGAACAAAGCTTGAGTCATATTGAGTCAGCTTTGTCAGAAATATATTTGTTCATCGTTTCACAAAGGAAATGTATTCATTTTCATAGACTTATGTAGTTTTCCTTTAATTATTGCATTATATGTCCTGTGAAAATGAACGCACGCATTTCCAACCTTATAATATTACCGGTCAGAAATTGTCCGCAGGGAAAACCACTGTCTGTGCCAAGTTGGAGTGAGTGAGTGAGTGTGGCTTTACGCCGCTTTTAGCAATATCCCAGCAATTATCACAGCGGGGGGCACAAGAAATTGGCTTCACACATTGCACACATGTCTGAAATCGAATCCGGGTCTTCGTCGTGACGAGCGAACGCTTTAACCCCCGTATATCCCACCGCCCCTATGACAAGTAGACAGGAGAAGTTTGAAGGAATCTATAACAGAACCAATGTTCGACCTGAAGCCAACCGACTATTACGTACATCAGTCACAAATTCCATTACACTAATGTTGGAATGGATATGGTTTGGCTTTAATACCTTAACTGAAGGCATTCGATCATGGTATACATGTTCCGAAAACAAAAGTAACCAATGTGTTTTGATCTCAGCCGTGTATATACGAATATGAAAACTTATTCATTCAAAGGCAGCAGCAAGTTCAGTTATGAAGGGCAAAATATATCCTAGTAATCATTACTCGTTAGAAGAGCTAGCTGTCTGATTGGTCAGTGTCCGCATGGTAAAAACCCATATTGTGACGTCACACTTAATCAAGTTCGTCTAGGTCCATTTACCATACCGAGAGTCCGATAGGGTGAAAAGATATATCTAGTTCTCGCTCACAAATCGCACACTCGTGGACTTGATAGATTCATTGCATGTGTGACCCGCTGTCTCCATTTACACAAGTCCATTCAGCTGGTGAAAACCGTTTACTTATTATTATATTATACATGTATATTATCCGACCAGTGGATCCGTTTGCATTCCAGTTGTCATTCTCAACTCCCCGGAGAGTATACAACACAAGCTGCCTACGGGCACCTCACATATCGGGTACCCATTCCCTGCTGGGTGAACAGAGGCACATTGGAATTAAATCCCTTGGTGACTCCACACGTTTTAACACTGATGTTTCGGGTGATGACCTTTGAGTGCACGGGGTGACTGTACACTAGGGGTAGTGACAACACTATAAAGACCTGTAAACATTGTTGGTGACAAGGCCTAATCACAACATGGTCATTAGCGGGGTACCATCTCAGCACCTGGCGCTTGCTTGCCTGGCGCTTTTGACAGCTTGCCCGCTCTGCTGATTTCTCTTTTCATATGACTGTTTTTATGTCATATTTCCAGAATTATATGCGCAAATATACAAACCCATGAGCGCCTCTAGGCAACGTGTGTCAACCGGTGATGTGAGGCCATATATGCTCGCCCTTTCAAGATACCTCGATCTCACCACCTGTCATGAGTTGGTTGAAAGACACTCGGAGATGTTCCAGGAAGGAAACTTGAATTCATCTATTCCCGAAATGATTGAGATTTAATTGAAAGTGTTCTGAAGATATATTTGTGTTTCATGATCAGACAAACTTCTATCAAGATAAAGACAAAATTACGGTGGCGCATACCCGCCACTGGTGAGATCATTTTTCACTGTATGCCTCTATATTGTATCTCACCAGTGGAAGTATTTGGCGGTCGCCAGAGATAATATAGAGGTACACAGGGGAAAATGATCTCACCATCTGGAGGCCGCCATATAAAATATAGAGGCATACATTGAAAAATGATCTCACCAGTGGCGGGTATGGGCCACCGTACAAAATGTCTTAAATCTGTTTTTATGCAGTTGCTCAAACGCCTGTATCTATATATTCAGTCGAGACAAGTATTGAAAGCGTTTGCTCAGATTTACGTACATGTACGTTGTCAGCAATTATTCCGATAGTGATTGTTTTGGTGTCATTTAATAAGCATCGTTTGTACATGTAAATGTAGCTTTAAACATGAATGCAAGTGCGGACATATAATGTTTATGTTTAATGTGACAAGGTTAAATCGCCCTAGACGCATTGTCAATATTTAATGTATGCAATGTATTCCAGTTTGGTAAACAATCACATGTCGTGTTTTAGTTTATTCAGTTACTAAGTAGAACGATGACTTAATGGCATAAACCCTGCTGTGATCTTGATGAAATAGTGGTAAAGTTGGCGTAAAAAATCACCCACTCACTCACGCCTTCATTAACTGGCTGTGAAGGTATCACTGTTATATACAATCCAGTGATTGACATCATGGACCTTGATCCATGCAACTGGGCAAGAATGACATGCATCAGCCAAGTCAGCGGGTCTGACCACCCGACCCCGTTAGTCCTACAGCAAGCATAGTCGCCTTTTACGACAAGAAAGGGTTGCCGAAGACCTACCATAGTATTCTTACCCGCATGCTTCCTGGTGCTCATCCCTGTGTACAGTAATATTGCGACCCCCTGTTTGTGGAGATGTCATATGCACCTCATCTGTTGTGAGATACTCATTGATGTGATGCATGGAATACCGCCGATGATACAAGTTTCAAATACATCAACATCAACATCGCATGACAATTTCTAGCTTGTTCATTTTCCGGCACCATTAAACAAGGTTGTACACTCTCCTGTGTTGCCCGGAAGTTTAGAATCACGCACTGCAACTACACTCTGCAAACCCAACCAAAGTCTTCGTACTTGATTTGTGTTCAGTTAATCCCTGTGCATATGTAATCATAGATATGTATCCATGTCCTCCCAGGTATTGAAAACTTACTTGATAAAGGTATTGGCATATGTACCGAAACGTTGTGATATGGAGAACTTGAAACAAAAGGTAAATTCTGTCTTCCTAGGTACTGCAGCTTCTACAATGCCACTTAAAGATAATATTCTTCTTCATCATTATCATTGGCAGCCAAACGGTCAACCAACGTTTGTAAGACGTCTTTACGTTAACACCAATATGTTATACTAGTCATGATCACGTTGATACCAGGTTTGTTTGTTTGTTTGTTTGTTTGTTGTTTAACGCCGCACTCCGCACGCAATATTCCAGCTGTATGATGGCGGCCTGTTAGTAATCGAATCTTGACCAGACAATTCAGAGTTTGACATCATGAGCATCGATCCAAGGAATTGGGATACGATGAGATGCGTCAAAGCAAGTCAGTGAGCCTGACCACCCGATCCCCTTAGTCGCCTCTCACGAGAAGCATAGTCGCCTTTACGGCAAGCATAAAAGATAAAGGAAAAAAATAGTGCTATTAGCTGCGTTAAAACCGTTTCACTCACTCACTGAGACACTTATTAATAAAAAGCTGTTTCACGCTTAAGTTTATTGATATAAGGGAGGTAACTCGTGTATGACCGTCATATATTAGTGCACACATAAAATATGCTTTTCATCCGTCCTTGCTCAGACGGATGGACGTATCAATACTCGCATTCATAATCTCTCTGCATATTTAATCATCAGTCGTTTTCAGGTATTTTTCAGATATGAAAGTCGGTTCGATGTCTTGGTATGCAAAACAAAAATAATATAATTTGGTTTCAAGACTGAAAATGCCACTTTGATAGTATTCGAAAATTAAAAGCGAGAAATTATACATGGTTACATGGTAAAAAGTCATAACAACTCACAAACATGTGTGTTACAGAGAATATCCCTTTGTTTTACTGGTAATTGCCAGTGTTTTCAAGGCCGTTCCTTGTGAAAGCTTTGGTGTTCTGTATTATAATGTGCACCTCACTTCAAGCGAAAATGCAAATGATTACTAAACGTGAACCGTGATTGACAGATGTTTATTCAATGGCGAGTTAACAGTATAAACTTACATCTATAAGTCAATCAAATAACAAATATATTCTTCAAAATAAATATACATGAACATATTTGTATAATCGCTCGCTCACTGGGTTATTCTCTTTATTTGTAAATATTATTGATATTCCCACTGATACCGCATCCTCCATATTTCAGGTTTGCTTGGTGTGTGATACATTGAGGTTGATTGTCTCCCAGAACCAAGAGAAAATATTCAAGTCCCACTCAAGCCCTTGAATGATTTTGCCAAGTCTAGATAAGGATTGTTCTAGGCTCCATTTTAATTGATTACTTTTGTTGTGTAGATATGTATTTTTTAATAGGATAACTTTATTTCTGGGACTAAATGTAGGTCTGGCGGTCTAGGGGAAGTAACTCTACACAACAAACTTTGTGTGTCCCACGCGGGATATACAGACCAAAGAAAGCTAGGCTGTGTTCACTGATAGCCATGCAATACAAGCTGTTCTTGTACACGTCTGAATTGAGGAAAACATGAATGTTTATCAGGCACACATACATCTCGCTGAAAGAAATGAATGTTCGAGTGATCAAAAGTGTCAAGCTTTTGCTGCACAACATGGCAATGTACAAGTCAGACAAGAACACAGCTCTTTCTTACCTGTTGTGTATGGTCGTTGACTAACATGAATGTCAGCATATAGTGCACGTAGCTAGTTATTGGCATAAAAATACCTGGAATTGAATTGAAAGGGATAACGGTTAGAACGAGACGTATACACTGTATAGTGATAGTCACATGTGGTGGGGGAAAAGTGACACTAAATTAGACACGGGGATACTATTTTGTTGTTGTGTTGTGGGGCATTACTTAGAAGTTGACGGATGACAATATAGACACAATCTATGGATAACGACTTTAATTACTTTTGTTATTACTCATTTGACTCTCATCTGGCTCAGATGAGAGATAACATGGATAAACAACCAAAATAATGGAATATCAGGAAAGTTTTATGCATATGCAGATCAGTTTACAGAAATCAGTTGATGGTAGGGCGGCGTGGCGAACTTTACCTCACTTTTAACCACATAAGTGATCTAAATAAAATGAATGTAATATATAATAGTGTTCGGGATATAGCCTGTGTTGTGACATTACATAATATTAATCACTGACCTTCTTAAATATCAAACAATTGTTTTTTGTTATAACTGGCAAGACGTTAAACTCGCCTGTGTGGTAAGTGGCTATGCGATTGATGATTTCATTGGGTAAAAACTTCATTAATGAAACTAAGATCTCGGTCATGATATGTTGCTTGCGGACATAATAACTGTTTATGGACGCCAAGATTTTGCGACATCATTTTCACACACAAAAGATCTTTCAACGTCTAAGAGATGTCATCATTGCTATTTCTTGTTTTGGAATACTGACAATACAGCTCGAATTTACAATATGGGCAATTTCAACTATGTTTGTTTATACTATTGACTGACATTCTGAGGCAGGAATTCATATAAAAACCATGAACAATCCACTAGGGCATGGATACCAAACTGGCGTTAGATACCCCCTGTCGCTGTGCAGAGTTGGGTCCCTCGGGCGCCCCATTGCCGCCCTGAGAACGACTCTTGGTTTCTTAGCACCAGAACCATGCTCGTGGGTTTCACACACTCACTCCTTCCGACACTGATTCACAAGGACGTACTTGGTAGCCTTTTTTTTCACAGAAAATAAATTTCCTGAATAAATATGGAAAATAGCTAGTTTGAATCCGCATTACGTGTTAAATTATCACTACATCATAAAATTGTAAAGACGAACAAAACATGTTCATGATTGTGTCCTCAATAACAGGTTAAGTAACAAGTGATGAGTTACAAGTTGGAGCAGGGGATCTTGGAGTAAACAGATAGCTGTTGTATATGTGGACCCTGTGACCTTGAGTACATTAAAACGTCTAAAAATATAGATTTAGATATAATCTTGTCGGTCAACAAACACTTACATTTTGGTGCAAGTTGCGAGAAGAGCGGGTGATACCGGTAGGGCAGGACTTTATGCGAAATCCAGGTGTCATCACTGATTTTCAGTGATCCATCCATACAATTGTCACAGCTGTGTGTTCCTTTTCGAGCAATGAAATATGCTTCGTTGGAAAAACGAGATTAGTTATTCTCTAGCATTGAAATTTGATTTTTATATTTTTATAAATAATCAACGTTTATAATTAAAATACTGTACCAATCATGCTGCTCATGAGGGGTGTATGAAACTATTTCATAAAGATGTGTCATTGAATATCTACGAGGCATATATACAGTACATCTTCTTTTTCAGAATTCTGATATTTTATATAACAATCCATTTCGCATCATCAAAGGATTCCCCTTTTACAGCCTCTGAAACAAAAAGTGTCACTTGCCACACAGTATCCTTATAAATCATCTGGATAAATATGAACAATCTCATGTTACATTCACATATGATGGCCATGTTGAAACGGTGTCAATTGCTTATTGTATCAATAACAAATCATGATAATTCCGCAGAATACTTACATTAGTCTTCCTGCTTCTTCCGGATCTTAGTTTTGTCAGGTTTGGCGTATAGATCCTCTATGTTGATGTCGTCAGCTGTACCTGTAGGTTTCGGCGTATTTTTCTTCGGTTTCTGCACTTGGGCGTAAACGTCTGATAGAAAATTATACTTTATTTATACTTTAGATGAAGAAATAGCAATCACGTAGTTAATTTGACCTTTACTTTAATCTAGTATTTTAATCTAGAACTGCTACTCTCCAGTCCCATGCTGCGGGAACAGGAACATGTCAGTACAACACTAACAGTAACATCACACATTCAGGACTTTGGCAATTACACGATCGATCAATTAAATTCAAGTCAAATTAAAGGGTATCAAAATACATTACATAGATAAAGTTCAATCATCCGACTTGAAGTCTACATGAGGCCACAAGCAGTATTCAGAAGATAGGATACATGACACATGACCTCCCTTTTGTATATTTCCAGCTGGTGTGACTGACTGATATACACAAATCGATTGCTGGGCGTGCCTACCATACATCGTATGTGCGAAACAGGGCTTTAAAATCATGGTAAACGTGATTATCAATAATTACATCAAGTTGAATTGACAATGTTCATAAGTTGTTATGGTTCTTTATGTGACTATGGTGCAATATATTGACCCCGCATAGACGTTTCTACCAATGTACAAACATGACTACGACAACAGTGCAGCATCGGTAACGGAAGAATAGAGGTGATCTTACTTTGAATTTTTATGTTGTTGTAATTTAGGTTGTTTTAAGTTAAGATTGACGTTTTAGGTTTCCAATGTAGAAATGCTATTGAAAGTGCAGGTGTTTCTCTAAACGACATCAATGGATCTCATGCTGGTGAGATGATATCGAAATTCCTAACCTGTTATCACGTGATCATTTGTTGAAAGCTGGTTGTGTGAGGTGACGTCATGTGAAGTCTCATAAATATCATTTTCCACTGAAATAAATAATACAAAATGTTGCACGTGGATAATCACTTCAATTATATAACAACGACAGCAACAACAACAACAACAACGACAACAACAATAAAATGCAAATTTGTATATAGCAAATTCCACACAATGCCTGCTCATATTAAGTCAATATTCAATTATTCTTCCAACTTCTTGGAAACAGTACAACCCCCGCTGTCCAAACTAGCTCGGAATTTCTGCATACATATTTCCATCTCATCCTTCCTGCGATGAAACAGGGGTGAATTCCGGAAAAGCTTCTCAAGAAGACTAATTGTGTTGGTCACGACCAGCTGAGTTTTGCCGAGCGGAATTACTCAGACATCCAATTTCCACCACTCCAACTCAGCCTGATTTGTGACCTGTGCGCAAATATATAACATGCATACATTCATAAACATACTATTATTAAAGCATGACACAATCCAGTGATCTTACCTAGAACTTTGTCGTTGTTGTCTTGGTCTTGTAAGCCGCGATTTCTGAAACAAATACATTTACAGATATCATTTATCTAAAACAAGAATGAAACCAGAATATCAACTGTCATTCAATAAGAATTAAACTTTGTGTTAATATGTGTACATTTGGATAAAATATATTTGTGTTTTTCAAATTATGAAATCTCACTTCGACCTAACTAACGACAAAACCCTTAAATGTTTCCATACTCCATTCCCACTATGTCATAAGGACATGTTTTTTAATCGTCATGAACGCATTTAATACAAGAGTTTACTTACTCATTGTAGTAGGTATGTGATGCCTCGTGCTTGTGTTCACGTGTACAGCCTGTAACAGAAGCAAGATGTATGGTTTGTAGCGTGGCTTGATTAAGAAAATGTCAATTGACAATTAACCCGAACAATTATAGTTTGTTGTTATCACACGCAATCTGTTTATCATACACCCGTTCGTATTGCTCTGACGAAAACTGAAGTTGGTATCATAAGACCAAGGTGTTGAAAGTTTAGTTGTTCCTTTACCGTTATTCACAGGGCGACCTCTCCTTCGTCTTATACACAGAACACTGACGACGACAACAATGACGACTGCAACACCTCCTCCAACACCAGCAGCGATGTAAGCAACTTGATTATCTGCATCTGTATAAGAAACTGTCATGTAAGAATATGCCTCATATTACATAAACATGGTGACTTATTTCGAACAGATACAAAGGCGTGTGCGATATGACAGACACACACGCGCGCGCGCGCGCGCGCGCGCACGCACGCACATACACACACACACACACACACACACACACACACACACACACACACACACGTAAGAACAATAATCTTAAACTCTACCTTAAACCCCATTTCACCTCACCTCAGGCCAAATGTTCCTCACACTTGGTTGAGGATAAACAGATGTTTGATTGAGGTAAAAAAATACGAACCTCACCCTCGGGTCTTTTAATACGCAACATATCAAAACTAGTTGTATTGGAGCTTAAACTTTTATCGACTTGATATATATATATTTGACGTCAACAGACACGAAGGTGAGATTCTATTATCATCCAGAAATCATGTGCCCTTTTTCAGTTTGTAAACGACAATAACCAGCGTCTTGATGGACAAAAAGGCACTGGTGACAAGCTTCAGTCTCAAAGAGTGTAGTGATGTCATAATACTGTTGCGTTATGATAACTGATGACGTCACATGGTCTGTAAAGCTTTGGGACGAAATTTCATTGACGCTATATCCCCTAGGGTATATCACGTGATCCAAGCGATGTATCCCGTGGAAGCCAGTTTTGGATGAGCATTCTGTTGGTTGTATATTACGGAATAAAAGTGGCCAAAAATATAAGAATTATTAAATCATCTCACACACTCCTTGAGGAGACTTGCTTGAGGAGATGTCTGAGTTTTCTGCAGCAGTTGTAGTTGCATTAGCTGCTGAAGTAACTGTCATACTTGTAGTAGCTGTTGTGGTTGTAGTATATGTAGTTGCTGTAGTAGTTGTAGGTCCGTCTGCAGTAGTTGTAGTTGCTGCTGTCGTAGTTGTTGACGACATTGTCATAAAGTTTACTACGTCTGAAAATTATTATAATTATCAAATTGTTAAAATTGCTTGGTATTGATGAAGTTGATAGAACGAATAGACTGGCGTGTCCCTGCGTCCATAACGTATGGTGTCAGCTTAATGGTGCAATGGTAATAATGTAATAATAATAATATTTTAATAAAATTTTAATGTCATTTTAATTTACTCGTACAATAAGTTAATAAACACAAAGAAAAAAGTTAAGCACACACCTATTTCTGAACAATAACAAATGGCAAACATCATTGCATGGGATGACTGACCACAGGAGCTGGGCTATACTAATGTCATCGGATAGAACAAACATTTGACGACAAATAAAGAAGCTAGTGGTGAGTTGTAATTGAAATTTACTGACAAAAACACAGGTACTGTATTTGACCTTAGACAATACCTGAGAAAAGTATGGAGCTGCAGGATAAAGTAAACGAGTTACGTTTGATGTTTCATGTGAAAATGTTCCTTAAAGCCTCTACTTGACATGACACGTGAAACAGATCAGTAGCGGGTATAACCGCTACGTGCCCGGATGACACAATCCACCCAACGTCTCATGCATCCAGTCAGACGTTGAATCTCCTGATGCAATGCTGCTTCCATTTGGCGTAAATCTTGAACAGGAGGATCTCGTGCCTGTACGCGTCGCCCCAGAATATCCAAAACATGTTCAAGGGGGTTTTAAATCTGGGCTCATTGCTGACCAGGGTAGAGTGGTTATAGCATTGGCCCTCATGTAATCCACGGCTGCATGCGCACGATGAGGCCTGGCATTATCATCCATGTACTGAGGTCGAGTAGCAAGAGGGCGATTTTTAAAATGAGGCAAGACGACTGGCCTCCAAACGTTCCGGATGTACTGAGCCCTGTTAAGTTGCCTGTTATGGTGACCAAATCCAACCTGCAACCATGAGAGGTACCCCCCCCCCCAAAAAAAAAACAACAAACAAACAAAACAAACAACAACAACAACAAAAAACAAAAACAAAAAAACAAAAAAAAGACAACAAAAAAACAAAAACAAAACAACATTACCGAGCCCAAGCGGTATGCAACAGTCGGCTTAATGTTCCTAGGGGTGTAGGCCGTGTAGGCCGTGCCACCAAACTCCCGTTCTCCCATCAGTGACGTGGAGCAGAAAGCGACTATCGTCTGACCAAGGGATCCGTTTCCAAGTTCTCAGATTCCAGTTCTGTCGCGCAGTACACCATGCTAAACCAGCATCTTTGTGGTGATCTCTGAACAAGGGACGCTTTATGACTCGTCTAGCCCTCAACCCTGCTGCTTTCAGTCGGTTCCTGACGGTTCTGGGAACTTGTTAAAAAGGGTTCTCGGCGTATGAGACGAAACAGGTCCCTGTTTTCGCGATGTGTCGTCACAGGAGGTCTTCTGGGATCTTGGACGGTCCTGTACATCACCGTTCTGAGCATGTTTCTCGACTAAACGGTTTACGACAGTGTGATGATACCCCAAATTCCGACCAATGACATTACAAGATATTCCTGCGTTATGCATGCCGATTATTTGCCATCTTCTGGCGTTTGACAATCGCCTTCGTGCCATGGTCACACAAAGTCATGGAATAACTGTTTAAAACCAAGCTTAAGAAAGCAATTTTAACGTTTGGATATACTGCTTTTAGAGATACCCGAGGGTAGCATGCTGCACGGGCAAACCATGCATGGCACGTGAGCTTTCGTTATCCATGACTGATTACATCATCTTGAGAAAACATAATTCTTCGCGTAGTTATATATTTCATGACTGTTACAAATATTGGGAGTCAAATTAAAAACTTCACATTTTTAAAAGTAATCCCATTTATGATATACAACGGACAAATGTATCAGAGAAGGTAATTTTAATCATTAATGTCCAAAGAAGGATTTTAATTAACGGTGGTAACCATAATTTGTTACAAGCACCTACGGTATTCGGTAATAACATCAACAGTTTAAATCATAAGTCCCAAGCACAAGAATCTGATGGCACACAAGTTCAGTAGCGTGTATGGCCACCAAGTGCGTTGACAACTGTCACACAACGCCTCCGCATGGACCTTGTAATGCTTGTGAACACATGATTGGGAAGACGACGCCAATGTTGCTGCAAAATGCTGCCAATATCTTGCAAATTCTGTGGTTGGTTCTGGATAGTGCGCAGACTGCTGCCAAAAGCATCCCAGACGTGTTCGATGGGATTGAGGTCAGGAGACCTTGACGGCTAGTCCATGACGTTGACTCCCGCATTCTGAAGGAAATTCCTTGTCAAAATTGCTGTGTGGGGTCTGGCATTGTCGTGTTGAAAGATCAAACCGGGTCTATGTGCTGCCGTAAAAGGCAGAAGTTCTGGTGCCAGTACCTGGTCGCGGTAAGCAGCAGCGTTGAGGTTGCCACGGATGACAAGTAGCCTGGAACGTGCATTGCCACAGAAAGCACCCCACACCATGACACTTCCACCTCGAAATCTGTCAACTTCCTGTACGCAACACTGGGCGTAACGTTCATGACGGCGCCTCCACACCCTCGCCCTACCATCAGCAAATCGAAGATTAAATCGGTATTCATCACTGAAGACGACATGATTCCAATTCCAATTCCATCGTAAGTGACGTCTGTGTAATTGAGTCAGAATCGGCACGCAGTATGGCTGTTGTGCTTGAAGGTGAGCAGTTCTCAGACAGTTTCGAACAGTTTGCGCACTCAGTCTACCCCTAAACAGTTCATTTCTGGTTGATGTAGCCGTCAAAAATCGGTTATGGAGGTGACGTAAGACAATCTGGCGATCCTCTGCATGTGACGTCACACGTGGTCGACCTCGATAAATCATAAACAGTCCGTAGACTACAACCAATCGTCCTTGCGACTTCAGCTACGGACGTTTCCGTCTGCAACATGCCGATCGCACGTTCACATTGCACATTTTAAAAGCGTGGCATGAAAAATGGCCGTAAAGACTTTTGTTTTCTTGTGTTTTTCTTTTTTTGTTAATGACTGCTAACAAGTATGGCTGAAAACACGTGCGGTATTATGGCCACGTGACCAGTTGCACGTGAAAAAACACGTTTGCCACTATAGTGCTGTGCACATGATTTTGATCGATTCACCTGCACATAACGGGTGTTATCTGAAGACAATAGGTGGCCATTACTGTTTAACTACACAAAAAGGGCCCACAATGATAACTGGTCAAATGTAAAAAAAATAGGATTGTGAAGTTTTTAATTTGGTTCAGTATATATTAGGGTGTGCTTAACTTTTTTTCTTTGTGTATGTATAGTTCGCGATTAGGTTAGCATCAGTAAATAGGTATTTAGCTCTAAACGTGCATAGGATAGTGTTTAAATCCTAACAGAAGTGTGTAAAGAAAGGGACAATGATCTCACTACATAATCACATCATCACCCAGTTAATACGTTGAGAGGCCTAAACATGTTTCGAATTGTGTTTAAAATCTTAACCGTGAGATCATAACATGTTCATGAAGAAAGTTGGGATTATACTAAATAGAGACATTTGATAGTTATACTGCCTTGTCCGACCTGACAGGAAGGACGCAGTGTGTTTACAGCAGACTTCCACGGAGAGGTTTGAGTAAGAACGTCGTTTTATTTACATTAAAAAGAGCGTGAAGGACATGTCATCATTGGATTATGAAATCCTGCAGCAGACAGAAAAAAGGGTTGACATGGTGAGATGGCTGAAGAAGCTGAAACTGTTTCAGTGATCAATCCCATGATCATATTTCAACAACAGCTTCGGATCCAAAAATACTAGATATGCTTTTATTTCTACTGCAGGATGCAACCATGATTAGATAGAGAGAAGTATGAACTGATTTGGTTTTACTTGGACACCCTAGACGCAAAGGCGTGTAACCGTTATTTGCTTTTTACACTTTCGCAGGTACAGCTCTTCAATTTCTTGAACATTCTGAAGAAGAAAGTTAATTATGAAATGAAACTTCTGAATATTCTCTTGTTCAAATTACGTTCACAAAATCAAATACTGGAATGTTGAGATTATATACATTTTAAACAATAAAATACCCCTAAGAGGGTATTCAGTTTTCATTGTGGGATCTAAACACAGTTCTTTGCATGTGTTTGTGACGGGTACCAGTCGGGGCAGGATATGCTCACCTTTTCGCCAACACCTGATAGTGATTCATAAACATATGCTCATATGAGTCGTAATCGTACAGTGGACATTGTTTTTATCAGTTATTTAGAAGTAGGTTCATTCAATTATAACCATGCTCAGTAACATTCATAATCATTCACAGTTTTGCGTGTGCACTGACTATCTATGAAGTAATAACAACAGTCGCTTTCTACTGGGAGTAAAAGGAATCATTATGTAAACCATTTCTTTGGTTGTAGTTGCATTGGCTGTAAATTGAATTACATATTTTGATGTTTCTCAAATGCTTATGGTGAACATTATTAACAAAAACATTAATGACCATTTGAAAATTTCGATCAGGTAGAAATGTGATGTCAAAACCTAGCCTTCATCAGTAATACATCAAGGAACAGTATGTCGTTACCCAGTACTGCACACTAGAGACACGGCAGAGGTACTTCTATTTTCTGTATTTTAGAAACATATACTAGTAGCTTGAAGCGGCCTGGACATTTTCTCAGTTTTTCACTTATTCATATATTGCTGTGTTCATCAATATTAAACACCTGTAATGACGAATAATACAAAATAGTATCAGTCATTCAATTAGTTATTTCAATTTCCGCTCGTGTTAAATGCTAAGATTATACAAGTATCTCAATAATTGACCAATTTGCTTAAACAGGTAACACTGTTTAATGGTTCAAACAAACCATAACATACTCACGTATTGTCCATATGTTGCTCTCCTGACCAGTCACATCATCCCGACACCACCACACAGATCCATTATCTATCGACGTGAGGATCCTGAGAGTCACATTGTACTTGTTGTAACTACAGGTTACATTGATACGTCCTGACAGATCTATGTAATTGGTTGGT